AGTCATGAGCCAACGTGGCTGTAGTTGTCTCAACACTCTCTTCATCCACTAAATTGTGTCTCTGGACTTGGGTCGTCTCCCATCCTACATTGGAGCACCTGGAAGCACTCTGTAGGTCGCAGCGTGTGCAGATGTGAGTGCGTCCTCACACAAGCAGCAGGTACAGCGCCTGTTAAAACCCGAGCGTTAGTGTGCCCACCTCAAATTTAAGGAAGATTCTAGTAAGATAGTGAAGTCTCATCTGTTTGGTCTGAGTTCAAGGTAGAGTTTGTATACCAGAGCATACCAGAGATTCCTTAATGGCCTTGCTGAAGTCAGGACTGTGGTTATGGGAAAACTGCGTATACGTGCGTTTATAGGCAATTGCAAAGAAAAGATACGTAAATACAACAGAGAAAAGTAAGTCGAACCCTGTAATTTTAGGCATTGTGCTTCAGGTTGTGCCTGGATGGCTGTTATTAATGTTTAACACTCATTAGCCTCAGGAAGAAATGTCAGTAGGAGGGTAGCTTTCAAGGCTGAGCTCCGTGCTTTATGTTTTGCCTCCTAAGTTTGCTCAAAACTACCAGAAGTTTCCTGCCCAAGGTTGTTTCCGTACCAGCAGCGTCACTGTGTTATCCTGCTGTGGGCGTGCAGGGTCTGTAGTGAGAACCAATGCCAAGCTGAGACCTGCTTGGAGGCCCGTGGTCCTGTTGGTGGTGGTCAGAGCCACGCAGAGGGTCAGGAGTGAACTTAGTGCCACGTCTTGTCCCAGTGGTATGGGACCGTGGGTGCAGAGTCCATCTCCGGAGGTGCGAGTTGCAGGTGAGGGGGTTGTTGATCATTTTGTGGACAAGACATATAGTCTCACAGGAGTAGATTTGTCCCTTCACCTTTTCTCTGGATATAATTATACAAGATGCAGCTTCTTTCTAGAAAGAATTCACCTTTCTTATAATTTTCTCATTCCCAAATTCACCTTTCTTATAATTTTCTCATTCCCAAAGAGTGCAAGTGGGCTGTAGATGTGAGACTGTTTTGATGAGGATCATCACTGTTCTATAATATATTTAGTATTGTGCTACGTCCAATCTTGCATAGAAAGTAAGGGATGGTATAGAAAGAAGATGGTAGTATTTGATAGCGAGGTTAATCTCTGATGGAAATGTTTATTGCGATGTGTATTTTGAGGGTTTGCATAGGAAAGTGAGGCTACCGTGAAATAAAACGTGAGCGTAAATGTTGTTATGAAGGTAACCTTCTCTGGGGATGATTCCCTGCTGTAGGGGTATCTCCTCTGCGTAGCTTCTTGCCACAGCCCCACCACCCTGACACTCAGAATTTGGAGTGGATGTGTTATTCCCAAGATAAACGTGCCCGTCCAACTGCGCAAACCCACTTCCAGCGTGTTGCTTGCTTTGTGCTGCTCCTCCCCGGGCACGTGCTGCCCTGTACAAACACGAGGTGGTTGGGAGTCGCTGCTTCTATGGTGCGAATGCAGAACTGTGCCCGTGTTGTGGGCAGGAATGGGTGATCCTGGAGGTGCCACAAAGTAGTTGTGTTCTGCAAATCGACGGTCCGGCATCCCATGTGGCAGCTGGCTTGGGCAGCTTCTACTTGTTCAAGCCAGTGGGACCAGTTAACCGAACCGTGGGTAAATGGTGTCAAGAGCAACATGGAATTTCCTTGAATGTGAGAGAGAATCATAGAATCGTCTGGGTTGGAAGGGACCTTTAAGATCATGGAGTCCAACCATCAACCTAACACTGCCAAACCCACCACGAACCCACGTCCCTCAGCACCATGTCTACCCGTCTTTTAAATACCTTCAGGGATGGTGACTCCATCGCTTCCCTGGGCAGCCTGTTCCAACGCTTGACACTTGGTTCTTGTGCTGGTGGGGCTGGGGAAGTCCTCTGCCAGCTGTGGGTAATGCCGCCCCATCTGTAGGCTTCCCGTTGGCAGTGGTTCCTGTGGGGAAGTCTCCACTGGAGAAGGTACCTGGAGGGCATTTGGAAGTGTTTGTGCTCCTGTTGCTTCTCCCAGGTTTTTTGGAGGGGGAGAGAGCTTTTGTTTTGTATGTTAAAATTATACTTGTTTTATTTACTAGCTTGGAGCTTCCTAAGATACACTGCTTGCCAGTGTGAGCAATTAAATCGTAAGTGAGAGAATACCCTCGCTTCTTCACCGTCGCCTTGGAGGCTGACCCGCGAAGCCACGCTGGGGTGCCCTGGGCACTTCAAAGAGCCCCACCGTACAACTGTATCGTTACGGGGATGGTCAAGTGATCATGCAACCAATTGTCATATGACCCAGGTTTTGTTTAAAATTCAGTCTTGCTGATCCGTCTTCTAAAGCCGTAAGCCTTGATGTGTGGCCTTGGTCTAAAGTAAGTGCTGGTTGACTAATCTAAGTTATTTGGGAAGTTTCATAAGAATTATCAGTGAAACAATGCCTTCGGGAAGATAAGCCCTCCCTTGTTAAGCGGTGACATAGCTCCCTGATTTTAAACCCCATCATCTTTTATACTTGGGCGCGTTGCTAAGCCTCGTAATTAGTTAAATCTGCTCCTATAATCAAAAGCTATCCGCACACTCCACTGCTCTGTGACGGTTTCAAAGATTTACGTGATTAACTTGGCGGAGGCAGTGGGTGGCTAATTGGATAAGCTTTAATCTTCACACCACCAAAGCGAAACATGGTAAGATCAGAGGAAGTAGGAAGTTATGCTGTGTTGTGTGGGAAGGTAGTTACCAAACATGTCAAAAAGATTATCGTAACGAGCGGACCAGTTGTCATGACCCAACCGACAAGAACAGGGCAGATTATTAGGGGGGAGGGAGAGAACGAGTGGTGCAAATTATTTCAAATTTGCTTGCCTTGGCCTTTTTTTAACAGGCAGAAATAGTTGTGCTCTTTTCAGCGAGCGGAGAGCTTTATGTTCCGTTTGTTTTATTTGAGTAATTTTGTCAGACGTTGTTAACCCTGGATTTTCTGTGCTTGCTAATTGAGTTGCTGAACTGGGTAATGATCTTCGCGTCTTCCGAAGTGTAGTGCTTCCATTGTGTTTAGCTTTGGGAACCTGGGAGCTGTCGTTGTGAGGCCAGAAAATGCGAGAGTGTATTTAATCCCCCAAAGCGCTGAAGAAGGCTAGGTAGTGTGTAAAACTTTATTTCAGGGGTGTGTATCTTTGTCTAATCAAGCCTGATTCCCTGCCTCCGTAAGTTGGTGGGTTTAATGCAGGTGCAAAGGACTGGAATGCAGAAGAATCCCAGTTCCTGTCTTTCAGATGTTGCCTGCAACGGCGGGCTGGTGGTTGGCACGGCGCGGCAGTCTGGGTTCTGCTCTGCACTGGTGTTCCAGCATCATCAAGGATGGTTAAGTGAGATGTTGTGATTTACAATAAGCGCTTTTTAGTCCTGTAGCCAAAAAAAAAAAAATAAAAAAATCTTTTGAGTCTGACAAATTCATTGCCTTGGGATAAAGTAGAATGAATATGTTAAAATTTTACGTGAAAAGTTAAGCGTTCTCAAATTCAACAGTGAATGTGATGTGAAGGGTGTAGTGCGCTGCACACGGACAAGGGCCTATGTGCTGTGTAATTCAAAAAACTCACGTGGTGATGAATTATTTTTCAGCAGTGTTGATTCATCTCACGGCCAGGAGATGTCTCTAGTTCACCACAATTCCTCAAGGAACTCCTGGACACGAGTTCTGGCTTTTGCTTGAATACCCTGGCTGTAAGCTGGAGCTGGAGCCGAACCCCGGAGCAGCTCCGCTGGTGCTTGTGCAGAGTTAATTTCTTTCGATACAGGGTTTTGACCACAAAATGATTTGATTTCAAGCATACGTGTGTACCATACAGCGTTGCAGTGTGTGTCACAGAGAAGGGACCTGGACTCAATTAAAAACAAAAAAAAAATTTAAAAAATTAGGTCTTAGTGTAATTAAAAAATGTTGACAATTTGCAAGATCCTAAAAATGCTCTCTGTTCTTGTTTTGTTTGTGGAAGTGCTTTGGGAAAGAACTGGGCAAAGGTAAAATGACAATAAAATACGGAGTTTAAAAAAAGCAAAGCAGAAAGCAAAACCTCTTACTTTTGTACTGCTGTTGAGGAGCTCATCTCATGATGACTCTTACCCCAAATCTGAGTTGCAGTTTTGGGTTCAAGTGCCTCACGGTCTGTCAGATAATGTTTTTCTTGTAGGGGAAACCGATGAGAAGCTGAAAGGCGGAAACCAGAAATCTGGTATTGAGAAAAATATTTAAGTGGCATTTCATTTTACTGCTTGAATTTATGTGCCTTGGACATGAAAAACTTGTTTTCCATTGTAACTGGGGAAGTGTCTATAATGTGAACAACCTCAAGTCATAATTCTTTTAAAAGAAAACCCATAACTTGATTACTCTCCCATTTCAGAGTGTGTGTGCCTGGCTTCTTGTTCACGTTGATGCCGAACTAGGAAACGCAGGAGAGTATCGGTGTGATTTCCATCTGCAGTTGTTGAAATGCAGCAGTGTTCCCTTTTAGGTTTGGTCAGGGTTGCAGTAAATTAGTAGTCTCGTCTGATTTGTATCTCTATTAGCGTGTTGATCCTTTTGCTGCTGGAAACTTTCAGGCTGTACCTCAGTGCTTCTATAAGTTTGTATTGATCACAATAGCAAACAGATGAACGATAGGTCTATTCCCAGTAACCCTGTTCTTTTTGTAGCAGTTTTGAATTTAATATGAATATATTATACAATGTATGGTATACATTTCACCACGTAGCTCAATTGTTCACTGGAGAATTATTTTCCGTCCTGCTTTGCCATGCGTAGGCAGTGTTACGGAGCCTGCGAGATGGATTTCTTACTGGACATAGTCGGACTCTTTTTGGCTAATGTCTTCCGTGATTGCGGAGGATTGCATGAAGTGCAACAAATACGTACACTTCCATCTCTGCCAGCCAGTCTTGCAAGCACAAATTATACGCCGAGTGGGTTTTGTCTTGAAAATTATTTACCGAAATTATTTTCAGATCTAGCCTAATGACGGGAGGGGTCAAACGAGGTGTAACCAACCCATGGCTCGTGGAAGAACCTGAGGAAACCAGAGGACTTGGCTTTGGCGATCTCAGGCAGCAGCAACGAAGGATCATAGAAGGTACAAGAGGCTTTCTGGTTTTTTTGTAAGCATCACTAGGACTCTGAGAGGAGCCCGTACTAGAAAGTGAATACAATAACCTGTGCTGAAGTTTTATTATCTGGAACTGTCAAACCTACTTGTTCCAGCTGGTGGTTTTCTATATTTGCAGGAGCAATATTGTGCTCGCAGTATTCTTAACTGCAAGCATCTTCTTAAATCACATTTCCAAAGACCTTACAGGTCATCCCTGATTTTGACGATATTCATGGGTTTGGTTTGCAGTGGAGATCTCATAGTTGCACTGAGCGTAGCGGTATTGCTGCTGTGCTTTGCCTGGGCTGTGTTAGGTGTATTGTTGAATTGGAACGAGTTAAGAATCAACTAATCTAAAAAGGATCTTTAGATTTTGGCCCTCAGCATCCGTAACAAATTTTTAACTTAGGAAGTGGTGGAGAACCTCAGCCTGAGGACATCGGGTTTTTAATGAGGTAACTTCTACGAAACTGAAGTATTGGAAGTGATCAAATAAAATCGGTCTCCGGATAAGGCCCACTTCAGTCCGCCCATGAGACAACACGTAGAGCTACGGTTCGGGAGAATGGCGTGAACTCTAGTTCGGATGGTCTGGGAGAAACCTCATGCTCCAGTTTCTGATTACACCATAGGTATCCCTTGGGGAGGCTGAAAGAGATATTTGGGGCCAGACCTTCCTCCCGTTGAAGGGAAGGAAGTGGGCACTTCTGCCCACCCCGTGCGATTTTTGGCTCCCGGGCTGCTGCCGGCTGGGCAGTCTCGCTCGCTGCAGCATCGCCGCTTTGGGGTTTGTCAGACCGCTGACAGCCCAGCCTCCGGCACCTCTTCTTGTTCTATTTCTTGATGACTTTGGGCAAGGAGAGCTGCACGTTTAGGTTGAGGCGCTTACTGAGGCCGGCGTGGTACCTGCAAACCGGGAAAGCAGAGGTGGTGTGGATCTCGATAAAGGAGCGTCTGCGGAGCTGGTGGGAGCACATCAAACTTTCGCTGCCCCCACCACCTCCCCGTGTCCCCTCTGTCTCAGGCTCTTTTCCATGCACTCTGTATCCACTTGCAGCTTTAAAAAACTATTTGAATTCTTTGGTGTTTGCATCACCTGTTTGTCTTTTATTCATGTTAAAAGTTTCTTGGAAAATTTAAAAAGGCTAATCAGGGATCTCTGTGTGTGCGCCAGAAAATCTCCTGCATTTATGACTGACTAACAGCTGAATGTTGAATTCTTGGATTTTTTTATTATTTTTTTTTTGGGACCCTCAGCTAAATGTCCCAGCCAGAGCAGACAAATTAATTACCCATCATTCACATTATTTTAAGAGTGCTGTTGCCTTAAGGATTAATTTTCATGTTCTGTTAATATATTTTTATTGATACATCTTAACTCTTTAAGCACAGAGTAGATCTTTTTCTTCATTTCTACATCTCTTATGGTATATAGCCTGGCATATCAGCATTTTATTTTCATGTAATATTATATATTTTTCTGGTGCAGAGCAAGATGCTGGACTCGATGCTCTTTCTTCAATCATATCCCGGCAGAAGCAAATGGGGCAGGAAATTGGGAATGAGCTGGACGAACAGAATGGTAAGAACAAGACTCAGAGGGACTCATTTTGTCTCAATTTTATGTAAGATCGTGATATTTATTTTTTTTTTCCACTTCTCATACAACTGCACTGCTTTTTGCCCACATAGTAACAAGACAATACTGTAAAGGTTTATGAGCAACCACTACAGATTCTATCCGTTCACGACCTTGTTGTTTTATTGTGTTGCACTACGTGCCCTGTTGTGCGTGTACAATGTGTAACACTTGGTGTGTTTTTATCAAGCCTGCCCTTTGAGAGGAAAGCGTGGTGATTATTTGTACGAAGTACAAAATGAATTTTGTAGTCGATCTTTTGCATTTTTCCGTTTTCTTGCCGTGTTTATGGTAAGCTTTTATGTGTTGCTGTGTTTCACTTGAGCATTTTTATTCTGTGTCTTTCCTTACGAAGTCTTGAGCCGGCGATGAAAGGAGAAGTGTTGTGTTGTTTGCTACAAATGATTGGGATTTTGAAGGTTTCGTGGCATTGAATGTAGGATCAAATTAATTGCAGTCTTGAACTAGAGGAGTGCCTATTTTCTTTAAAATGAGCCAGTATCCAAATGGTGGGATTGCTCTCCTGTTGTTCCTCGCTTCATTGTTCGCATGACACAAACTGTCCCTAGGAGAGCAGATCCTCCGGTCTCTCTGACTTTTGCATTTCTTACAATATGGTAATAGTTCAATTAGAGCCGTGGAACCCTGCCAGCTTTCTCCCTTGCACAAAGACTTGAGCCATATGGTTTATCCTTGGGTTGTGTTGTACTTAACCACTCAGAAGGTAAATGTCCTTTTACTTGCTAATAAATGATATGCTTAAATCGGCGTCTTCCTGGACCTATATTTTTTCCCCCCTTATATTTCTCTGCATGTCTGCTCAGAGTGAGGGGGTTCCCGTGTTAACAATCATGTAACATGAAGTACTATTTGGGAGCTCCGCTCCAACTGAGAGTGAAGTAAGAGGACGGCTTTCTCATGTTTGCCTTCCATACACGGCTAAATCCAGGAGGGATATGAAATGTCTAGAGTATGTCTTTGTTTATTAATCTTAAGGTTGTTAAGAAATGGTTTGTGCAGCTGGGAGAAACTATGCTTAGTGGTCTTGTCATATTTTGATCCTCTGCCTCATGTGAGTAAAGACATTTTCAATTAGAAATCTCGGTTTCATAAGTTTCTTCTATTAACCGTTGTTGAAAAAGTCATATTAATTGCTTTTTTTTTTTTTTTTTTGCTTTAAATAGAAAGCAGGTGGGAAGCATGAGCATGTTTACTAATTCTCTGTGAAACCTTGGTTTCTCATCAGGAAAATATACTGTCTGTGTCCCATTTCCCTCTCTTGGGGGTAGGGAAACATTCCCCAAATCCTTATGTTTTTGGGACCCTGAAGGTAATGTGTATTGTACCATCGCATTTCTGCGTGACCACGCCAGGCTTTTTCTAGCGATGAAGCCTTGAAACATCTGTGAAATGGGGAATGCGTTTAACCCTCCTTTTTACAAATAACGCAAACGATGCCAGTTTTGTTTGTCTTACAGATAGTTGCAAAGCCTAGAGCAAAATTCTTAATGTTTTCATGTGAGCTCTTTTTTTGAGCTACGGGCAGCTCTTCCTCAAAAGACGGAAACTTTCCTGAGCGCTCGGAGTAAGAAGCGGTGAGGATTGCCTGTTGCTGACTGCAGGCTGGATCCTGGGGGAGGAGAAAACGCTGAATTGCCTCTGCTTCTCGCTGTCCCAGAATCACTAGAATAAAACCTGCCAGCCACGTGGAGCGTGTCGTTTGTAGAGCTTGAAACAGTCTGAAAAAGGTGGGGAATAGTCTGACTTGTGGGGATGGGGGATCAGATCACTCAGCACCTGACTTCATCACTGCCGAGCAAGCGGACTCCCGCGTTTTCTCGAACTTTATGCAATCCTTTTATTTTCTTGTGGGTACAGGGGGAAATGGTCGGGTGTTTCGTTGCCACTGGCACACTGGAAAAGCTGAAATCCCCAGCAATATTTTCCAGGGGCTACTTTCCCTTGACGCATCTTATTTTATGCCCTGTGCTTAAGTATCTACAGACTTGTCGGGCGCTCTGCCAATCTCGCGTCACTGCTTCACGGTCAGGTTGATGAGGATAACTGCCCTGTAATTTCCCCTTGCTCAGAATCTCTTTCCTTCCTAGCGCTGAGTGATAATGGCATCGTCTGTGTTACGGGGAGGCAGGGGGAGTTCATCTTCATGAAGCGCTGCGTCAGTATTTCTTTTTATTCGAGTCAAATTTTCCATCGAATTGCCCGTTTCTGCGGGAAGCTTGACTTCCACTTCCCTGATCTGCTTTGGATGTTCCCACCTTCTGCAACTAATTAGGTGCCTTTAGCTTGTTCTGGTGTTACGATAAAACATGGCTTAATTCAGAAGTAGCTGATAATGTCTGATAGTTAATGCAACAGACTTTAGGGAGCTGGATAACTGTACTTATTGTCCAGGCAACCTGTTATTCAGCCCTGCTTTTTTCCTTCCCTGGCAGCTCGGGCTCTGTTCAGCTGAGATATTTGCACTTCCCATCTCTTCGAGGTGGCCCGAGGCACTTTCCCTCGAGTGCCAGTTGGTGTAGCTGTGCCTTTACAGATGCACAAGTATTGGAGGCATCCCGATTAATTATGCAAAGTTTACTTCTCGAGTAGAGTCGGTACGTGGAAATTCTTTTGTGTTTGTTAAATGACTGAAAAAATGATTAAACTTTGCTCTTAGAAGAGTGGTTACTCGGCAGTATCTATTTTTACTTCACTGGTGGGCTGACAGGCAGCGCCGAGGAGTAACGCTGGAGGTTTGTAAGAGGGTGTCCTGCAGACAGGCCCGGCTGCGGTGGTTGCTCTGCTCTCCAGAAGAGCCGGTCCTTCTCCTCGGGCAGGAGATGGGGACACCAACCTCGCTGAGCTCCATGTCCCCACGACACCCGTCTGTTGCCCGGTCTCTCCCAGCCTCCTCCCTCGTCAGCAGACACCCGCAGGGATTGCTCAGGTGCCCGACGTGTCCCCCTCGGGGCAGAGCACCAGTGTGTCCCACAAACACTGGTTTGTCCCCGCCGATCATAAAGCGAGCCTGGGCTCGGGCGGAGGTGGCCGCTTTGCAGACGTCTACCCTGAGCAGATGAGTCCCATCCTTTGATTTCGTTGCATTGCGTCCAAGTTTTAATTGGAGTCTCATGTTGTTCTTTACTCAGATTTTCAGTATAGCTCTGTCCTTGAGATTTTATGACTCTGCTCAAAAGCTGAGGGTCGTTTTCAAACCTCCCGAGCGTAGTATTTTGCACTGATGAGCAAAGTAGAAGCAGGGTACCAGGAGACATGTTGGTTTTTTCCAGCCTCGGGAGCCTGCTAGCAGTGGGAGAGATGGGGGATTAGCAAAAGAATTTTCCCATCATTAATTCCAAATTTGGCCCCAGAAACCTTCTGTAATCCTTTCATCTCTTACATTCAAAAAAAAAAAAAAAAAAACAGAAAAGGAAAAAAAAAAAAGAAAAGAAGAAAGAAAATAGTGTAAATGGCCTCTGGCCCTGTTGATGAGGCAATCTAATCTAGTGCAATAATTTTGGAAGAATGCTTTCAGAAATTCTGAATGCTGTTTGTTTTACCCTTATAGAGATGTTGTTTTCTCATTGTGGCATGCTTGCGTGAGAATATAGTACTCTGTGACGGATGGTAAATATTGGTAGCTTGCAAAATTTGTAGTGTTTGGCATTTTTACCGTGTTGCTCTTCATTTGGTACCCACACTGTCGAGGATGGATTCTTTTGCTTCTGGCTCGTTTAAAATCTATGTCAGAACATAAATATGTTCATAAATGGATAAGCTGCAAAATCCAACCACTGCTTGCATCCTTTTACTGGTCAAGTGAATGCTGTATACAGAGCGAACGTTCAGGATGTTCTTAACCAAAGTGGCTCATTTTAAGTAAACAATCTGTCATAATGAGGCTTTAATTACATGGTTATGTAACAGTTTAAATTTCTTGTCGAAGTCAAATTTCTAAAACCGACCTAAAATTGAAGCATTATCTATTTTTATCTTTTTCTTTTTTTTTTTAATAGCTTTGCAAAATGAAGGTTGCTGTGTCAACTCTGGTCGTAGTGGGTGGCGCACAAGCTCTTTGGTGCCATTCCATGGTCAAAGCCTTGGACTTGCCTAGTCTACAATTTTTCTTAACCTGACATGCTTCCATCAAAATGCAATTTAGAGGCCCCACCTAAGGCTGGAGGCCCTGGATGTAGAGAGCAGCAGCTCAAACGCAGAGAAGTGTTCTTGTAAAATCGGAGAAAGTGAGTGAAAGCGTTCTTGATGATGCAGAGGTTTGTTAAAAACGGCATCGGAAACTGTAGTGCAGCAGCGATGCAATTCATCTCTCCTACGGCAGGGTCCAACCGCAAGCCCATCGCTTCTGGTGCGGATGGCCCCGTCGGTGTGTGTAAAGTGTTTCTCCTAAAGATTATTTTACATGGCTATTGCGTAATCAAAAAAGGAACCCTGAAGTCGTTTCACGTTTCTGTTTATTAAGGCCATTTTTGCTGTAATACAAACTAATTAGCACTGTGTATGAAATCTGTATGAGTTATGAGACAGAAATCAGGGGGGCTGTGGATGTATTACCTCATTGTTAAGATCAGTTTGTAAATAAGAAATGATTAAAGATTAAATTTAAAATTTAAAAAAATGCTCATCATCTTGTCTAAACAATAAATGTTTTCGTCAGATAGAATTACAGTCCTGCACTGCTTTGACCCCCTTCTGAGATGGCTCGAGTCCTCCGGTCGCTGGGATTTGAAGGTGTTCAGCGTTCCTTGAAAGCAGCTGAGCACCAGCAGGTTCAGGTTTTCTAAAAACCTCCAGAGAAGCATATGTTTTTAATACTCAGATGTAAAATAACCATCCGTAGCCTGACTGACCTCATAGTATGCAGATAGATTTTTATTTTGCTTCTTGAGCTTATTTTACAGAATAGAAACGACTTCAGTTTTATG